CCGATTCGATCTGGTGGAGATTTGGCCTGATTCGGTGGCTGAATCTCTGAATCTGAATCGAATCACAGGACCTTTTAATCTCTCTGAATTGAATTGGAACCCTCCAGATTGATTCAGAGAGATTCGGAAAAATACATCGATTCGGACACAGCTTTAAGCGGTTTTTCTACATACCTCTAGGTAGCAGGCGGCTTGTGAGTGCTGCGATGGTGGGGTGCATGGAGCATCCCCCAGGAACGCAGTGGGAGGGGAGCGGTCCCCAGCGCACTTAGCAGGAGACCAGGAAGTGGCCCAAAAGCATTTCCAGTCCACTTCCAGGTCCACTGGGGATCACGCCGGGGGGGGCCCCCTGTGCCCCCCTGGCTTGGCGACTGGTGCTTCCTGGGTCTGGGGGGGCACTTGGGGACCCCCAGCACTCCCCCTGGCAGACCCAGAAGTGGACTGGAAGTACTTTCAGTCCACTTCCAGGTTCGATTCTGAGCACGTGGAGCCTGCCCGCCCCCGCCCCCCCGGCACTCCTGTGGGATGCTCCATCTGCCCCAGTATTGCAGCAATCACAAGCTGTGCTGCTACCTCAAGGTATGTAGAAAAAACATTTAAAGCCATGTCTATGTGCAAATCCCTGATTCTCTGCACCAACATCAAATCTTCAGTTTCGGATTTGGCTGAATCGAATCAGGGACAGTGATCCGAATCAATGAATCGAACCACTATCCCTGATTCGGGTCAAATCCAAACTGAATAGGGCCCGCTTTTCACACCCCTAATATCTATACATAGATAGAAAGATAGATAGATAGGTATCAGTTGAACACAATGTTTTATTGATATATTTACAATTTGAAAGCAATTTAGAAACCTACCAGTGCCTCGATCGCTATAATAAAATGATTTCTAAATACCTATATCTTTTGGTGTTTGATTTTGCTTCTTTAATCATGGAAAATCAGAGCTCCCCCTGCCCCCTTTGCTCACCAGGATGCAGGTCCAGCTGTGGCCGCCCAGCCCACCCCGCTGCTTTGTGATGCTGAGCTGATGTGCCAGTGCCCCTCATTGCCAAGCCGCAGCCCCCCAGCCTAGCCGGTGCCCCTCACTCCTGACTCACAGTCCCTGCCCACCTCCCACTTGTTCCCTCCCAGGAGCAGCTCCCCCCCTGCACCAGGACATGGGTCCAGCTGTGGCTGTGCCCCCTGCTGCTTTGTGACTCTGAGCAGTGCTGGCCCCTGCTGTTCTGCTCCCTGCACCTGTTGGCAGCAATAAGGGCCGGGTTCAAGTTTTGGGGGGGTCCCAAATAAGTTTAGCTTCAGCTCGAGCCCCCACCCAGAAACTTGGGATAACTAGATTTAAACTGGGGTGTCCTGAATGAACAAACTTCTTCCTTGCACGCAATGTACCAACAAAAGCCAGATTTATTATAGGACGAAGGGGAAAGAAACACAACGTATAGCTTGAAGCACTTTTAGACTCTAAGGCTTAAGTTCGGTAGTGCAGCCCCACCTGGGCTCTCTGCTCTCCTCAGCACTCCTGGGGCCACTCTCGTAGTCCAGGGCCCCCTGGGGCCTACTGGGACCTCCACCTCCTTTACAGTCCTGTCCACATGCCACCAGATGTTACCTGGCCAGTAGCAAACTGTCTCCTCTGCCTTCTGGCTGGGATTTCCAGACTGCTAGCCCACCCCTACGGGTCACACGACTGACCTGATTGCCAGCTGCTCCCCTGTAGTCTGGCTCCTGGAGCCTCACTCACTCCAAAATTGGCAGGTGCCCAGAGTGACCTGCCACATCCCACCCCTTGGGAGCTTCTACCAAGCCCAGGCAGTCTGGATTAGGGAGGTCCACCCAAGGCGGGGAGTCCCAGCGTGCACCACCCAACACCTGCTTCACCCAAACCGGCTGGGTAGAGGAGCCACATTAGGGAAGCCTGTAAGCTGCTCCTGGGGGTCCTCGGTGAGCTGCTGGGGGGGGGGGGGGGTGCTGGGGTGCTGCTGGGATACACTGCTATTTAAGCTGGTCCTGGGCGGTCCCTGCGGCGTGGTGAACTGGGGGGGGGGGGGGGTGCTGGGGTGCTGCTGGGATACACTGCTATTTAAGCTGGTCCTGGGCGGTCCCTGCGGCGTGGTGAACTGGGGGGGGGGGGGGGTGCTGGGGTGCTGCTGGGATACACTGCTATTTAAGCTGGTCCTGGGCGGTCCCTGCGGCGTGGTGAACTGGGGGGGGGGGGGGGTGCTGGGGTGCTGCTGGGATACACTGCTATTTAAGCTGGTCCTGGGCGGTCCCTGCGGCGTGGTGAACTGGGGGGGGGGGGGGGTGCTGGGGTGCTGCTGGGATACACTGCTATGTAAGCTGGTCCTGGGCGGTCCCTGCTGCTTGGTGAACTGCTGAAGTGCACCAGTCCTTGCTGCGATGTAAGCTGCTGCTGGGGAGGTCCTTGGTGAGCTGCTGGGGTGCATTGGTTCTTGGTCCCACCTGGTGGCTGGGCGCGGGTACGGGGACTGCTGACCTCTGCCAGTCACTGCCCCCTCAAATTCCTAGTCCCAATCCAGAAACTGCTGGGAGCAGGATTAAAGACTGCAGAAGAAACTCGCTGGCTAGGCCTTTCACATACAGGGGCTGATACGTGTACGTAAGCCATTCTCCCTCCTCAATAAACAAAACGTCCCTAGGTCAGTTCAGGGCTCTGACCAAAAGCTAGCTAAATTTTTTTTTAAATTCACAAAATATGTAATCACTTTCAGAGTTAGTCCAGGTGGTTAAAATAAAGTTGCAGCCTCCCAGCCACAATTTAATCTTTCAGACGCTGGCGCTGAGCACTCAAAGGAACCCCAAGTTTGCTGCAACTTCTTTCCACATCAGCTGAATTTACAGTCTGTTGGAGAAGAGCCACTGTATATTTTGCCAGGTTGGGACTGTGATCTTCAATAGCCATCTGGAACTGAATGGGATCCTCAAAGTCTGCAAACCCATCTTTGATAATCCCTAAAAACATTGGTCATTCCATGTTTCAGGGATGTTGGTTGCAGCCACGTTGGTCTAAGGGCATAGGCAGACAAAACTCTTTGAGTAAAGGCAATATCTTTTATTAGACCAACTAAGTAGTTGGAAGAAAAAAATTCATTTGCAAGCTTTCAGGCTTACATTAAATTAAATTACATAGAAATTAAATTAAAGAAAAATTAAAACTCTTACTATCTTTAATTTCTCCTTTGCCTGATGAAGGGCATGTGAGATTGAATGCTTGCAAAGAAAAAACAATTTGCAACTATTTAGTTGGTCTAATAAAAGATATCACCTCTACCCAAAGAGTTGTGCTGGCTATTCCATGTTGCATTCATTGGCCCTTGGTGGAGCAAGAATAAAATACAGAAGCCTCTCAGCCCTGCTCCCCCCAGCCTGGGCCCCTCCTCCCCTCACACAGTGTCTGTGCACTACCCCCGTCGGCCTGGTGGGGCGGGGGCAGCAAGAGCAGAACGAAGCCCAGGAAATTAAGCCCCAGGCTCCACAGATTAAGTCAGTCCCTACCAGGCCTCGGAGAACCGGAGCTTAGCAGTATCCTGTCAAAGTTGAGACCTCGGTATGGATAAGAAGAACATGCGCAGCGAGATCAGCTGGGATTACAGCATATCTAGTACCTTTTTCTCCAGTGCCAGTGATATTCTGTCATGGCTGATCCTCAGATCTCTTTAAACATAAATACAAATGGTTCCTGTTTGGTGGCTGTCCTATAACAAATAACATCACAAAGCAGTGAACGTTTCTGCCGAGACAGCTTTGGCTTATTGCAATGCCGGCTAATTAAGAATGATGTTTGTACAGAGCTTTGAAGGCAGAGCGCTATGCGACTGATAAATATTGTAATTCTTTCTATCTGCCTGAGCCACTGTATAGTGCCGGTGACTAATAAATATCTCTCTGTCTCCCTCCCATTCTTTCTTGAGGGCTCTGATGGGGGAAAGCATCCTTATTCCGGAGAGCGTTAAGTTAATGGGACTCAAGCACAAGTTTACTGGTAGACACCGTATTTACATGCATTGCTGAGTAGGGGTGGATTTAAGCATGAGTTTCAAGTGTCTTTTGAGATCACCGTTAACAATCCAAGGTCTGTAACAGTACATTGCATGACGCAGCCAATCAGTTGGGAGATTCCTGATTGAAATAGGGTTTGGTCAAGCGTGGAGGGCTTCTGATTCTTTTACTTGGACAGTTACCTTGGTAATTAGCAATGCTGGAGAAAGGCAGTATGGAGGAAATGTGAGAGAAGTAGTGAGGAATTTGGAAATGTGGGGCGTTTTGGATGTTTGCCAGCAGACACACAAGTATGTGAATGACTTAGATTAGTGGTGTCAAACTCATCGGGCCCCCCTGGCAGATGAGCAGTACAGAACTGATCCGCAGGCTGGAAGAACAGCGTGGGGCCAGCCCTGCAAGCAGGATTGGGCCCAGGTCCCCCCACCCCAACCTTGCCTGCATGTCAGATGCAGCACCCATGCTGCTTGCTCTGGCTGGTTCAGGATTGTGCTTCACGGGGTGCCCTCTCTGGCTGGTCCAGGTTGCGAGGCATATGAGGCTCCTGCTCCAGCCAGTCTGGGCTGCATGCAGCATGGGTCCCAGACGGGCTGAAGCGGGCACTGTGTGCAGCGTCATCCCAGACCAGCCAGCACAGGGGCCAGATCTGACAGGCAGGCGGCCCACAGAGCCCTTTCCCCACATGCTGGATTTATTTCCTACTACGACTGTTCCAGGACTGTACGCGGAGTGCACCCTGGAGTGGTTACAGCACATCCCAGACTCGCCAGAGTGGGCACCACGTGTGGTGCCACCCAAGGCCAGCCAGAGCCAGCGCTGTGGGTGCTGGAACTGGCATGGTGGGGGGGGTGGGCAGGTCCCAGGCTGGACCCACCCGGGGCCACCCCCAGGGGTGGGATAATACAGCTGTACATGGCCTGTGGGCCATACATTTGATGCCCTGACTTAGATAAATGAAAGGGGCTGGAGGAAGATGGAGCAGACTGGGGATCCTCCTCTGAGGTATATGGACCTAGTGCCATTGATTTCAACAGACACACACATGCCAGTGGAGGACCTGCCCCTTTGCACCTCAGCAATGATCCTGGCTAGGAGACAGCACCGGTGTTTGTACTTTGGAGACTTCACAGTGTGAGTGCTCCTGGGCAGCAAACACTAATGATGAGTGAACATGGCCAGAAGTCCACCAAGGGCTAGTGGCCCACTGAGCTTTCATAGCTAAGCCATGCCAGTCTCAGTAGCCAGCAGTACACCAGAGAGGGATGTGGCTAGAAACATGTCCAGCTGCCTTCCCTGACCAGGTGCCCATTTGCGGCTAGGTCAACTGGAGCTGGCCTTTTGGAGGACACCAGAGCATGGCTAAAGCTCCTCCTTCTGCCATATGCCCCTTGTCACGGCCAGAGATCACTCCTGGAAAGAGCAGCGGCTCTGGCACCTTTCCCATAGCATTTGCCTGGCTCCACCCTTTAGGCTGTGGGGAGGTGCAGGGGGTGTTTACCCCTAGTTCACGTAGGCTTGTATTTCAAGCCTTGTGAGCTGAGCTTGGCAGGAAGGCTCTGGACAAGGACTTGGGGTTTTTGGGCCTTGTTTCTGTCCTCCATTGTCAGCTGCTGTGCCTTTGGCCAGGTCCATCCTGAGATCAGAGGTGCTTGGTGTGATGGAGCTGGCTCTGGAAACAGTCACAATGAAGGCACAGCGGTGTGGGCTTTGGTGTGGGCTAGATACTGCAGGAAGTGCTTGGTTCCCTAGTTTCTACCCATTTCTGCAACCAGGTCTGCACTGCACTGGAGTAAAGCCCGCTTGGGGACGCCCAGGGGTGCTGCAACAGCACCTCTTTACTGTGGTGCACACAAACCCTCTGTTTGTCTGGGCTTCATGCTCCCAACTGTAAAATGGGAACATAGATTCATAGATTAAGGGTCGGAAGGGACCTAGTAGATCTTCTAGCCCGACCCCCCACCAGGGCGGGAGAACAACAAAAACCCCAAAAAGAGAAA